ATGTTAATTATAAAATTGCATTTTGAGAAATTAAGTTTTTACATGTGGACATGGTGTAATTAAATGTAGAACATAGATTATGAATATTTTTTAACTTATTGAAATCATTAAAGAAAGTTTGCTTTTGTATGATTTTGTATATCTATAATCAGTTATAAGTTATGGATGATCGATAAACAAATAATATATTGTGTAACATTTATTTAACTTAAAAATTAATAAATTATAAGTATATTATTACATACATTTTTTTTATGTTCATTAAACAATGTTTCCCTTTTTTGATTGTTAATGACGATCATATAAAAATATTAACCTCCAAGGTCAAAAATAAAAATAACATGCTTAATACAAGTATTTTTCATGGTGTGTTCAATAAAAGGTTGTGTGTAATTTTTAAAAGACCAATAATATTTATTTAAAAAATAATAAAATGCATTTTAGTTTCGATGCGAAGCTGAGAAGGTATTAATTTTACTATGATGTGTTTTTTTTTATTTTTTTTTTTGTGTCTGTTACCACTTTTTCTCTGCTCTCACCGAACCTACCTATTTCTTTCAACGATAAGTCAAAAGATCACAAATTGTATCTAGTCAAAGACATTACCCTCAAAAATTTAAAAAATTTCCTTCGTTCCCCGTAAATGGGGGAAATCTCCAAAAAAATTACAAATTTAAAAATCGCTAATTTTCATAATTTTTAAAATTTTTTTTTACTTAAAACTGCCATAACTTTTTTAAAAATGACCGATTCAGTATAATTTTTTTTATAGATACATAATGTCCTTACCTATCATTTGGTATATTTTTTTTATAAATCTGACCCTTTACCTGCTCACAGGGGTGGATTCAAAATGACAAATTTTTCACAAAAAATTTTTCTTTTTCAACTTAACTTTTGAATGTGTTTCGGAAATACTGACACTTTTATATATATTTTAAATTAAAGCTTAACTTTAATATTAAAAAAAATAATTTTGGACTTTATTTTGTCTACATGGTGAAAATGGCTATCGAATGCTATTTTTGTGTGAAAATTCTCGATTTTATTTTTAAAATTTTAAACTTTATAATGCTATAACTTATTGAAAAGTGTGTGGATCAACACAATTTTTTTATGAGAAATAATATTTTTTAATAATCCCTTTTTAATTCGACATACTTTATCTTAATCAGGATATTAATAAGGAACTAGCAGATCATGTATCTTTTGGAATAATCTACCAATTTTTTAAAATTAAACATNTAATCCACCAATTTTTTAAAATTAAACACTATCTAAAGATTTGCATCGAAGGGTTTTTTTTTGATAGTGATTTTAATCACTGTCAGATATCATTATACTTGATCCAACTATGCCACGTTACCACTGTGACGCGACCCCCCTGTATTGGCTTTTTTTTAATTAAACACTATCAACAGATTTGCATTGCAGCGTTTTTTATGATAGTGATTTTAATCACTGTCAGATATTATCTATACTGGACCCAACTATGCCACGACCGCACTGTGCTGGGTTTTTTTTTTTTTGTATTATGCACGTTTCTTTTAAAATTAACTAAAATATTTGGAATATGTTTCATATAAGAATTTAAGTTATAACTAAGAATTATAAGTTTATTAAATAAAAATGATAGCGTTTCATTTTTTAAAAAAATATTGTGCTATTTTCTTATTGTTATGATTATTATTATAAAAATAAGTTAAATTTATTTTAAATTTGTTCCTTTTATATGTAGTTATTAAATTTACAATTTAAATTGATTGAGTTAAGACATTGAAAATTTTCTATTATCTATAATAGATTCATTTTTGTTTGGAATTCCAACTGAGGTTTCCAATTCTTTCTTTGGTTTTTTTGTCTGATTATTTTAGACACAATTTGAATACAATCTTTTATTATTAATTAATGGTGGTGCCATAAAGTTAAATAATGTTTTTTTTTCAATGCTTTCATTTATTATTAACACGATTATATTAGATTCACTTGTATGTTGTGTGTTTGTTGTTTGTAAATCTCCACGTGCCACGTGTTATTATTCTCGCGTATCCCGTCGTTTATGGCTTTGAGACTAGACTGTCGTAACGCATTCACCCAACCGCGCTCACCTCTCGCCGACTATAATATTTTCCTGTAAAATTTTATTTTTGGATTTCGTACCCATACACGCGTGCATGACATCAATTATATATATATATATAAACAAATTTTTATTTTGACTGACCAAACTACCCTCGTGTATAAATATTTATATATTCTTACCGCCGCGCCACCGTTTATACCTTAGGTATAGCGTTCCCCCCGCCCACAAAACAAGGCTATACCTAGTGCTTAAGTCGCCTTACTATATATGTATGTATGAATGTGTGTATATATATGTATAAATATGTATATGTATATATGCCTACAGCCGCCGCATATGCCTCGCGTACAACGTTCGTTACTACCTCCATGTTCCGGGAGTGGGTAATTTACGCACCTGCTGTGCTTTAAAAGCGTGTTTTTTTAGTTTTTTTAAACTATATTTATTATTTTTAACTCTACTTCTTGTGTTAAAATATTAAATTTGGAAATATAAAATTCTGTATTGTATTTTCTTTATTTATTTCTTTAATATCAAAAATATTATTTAATTCTGAATTATTGTAATGTGTTATTGTTTTAGAGACTTTTTAGTGTTCGGAATTTAGTAACTGATGTTTTGTGCCAAATTTCTTCGTTTTCTTTATTTGTTCAATGATTTCCAATCTAATACTTGACCATTTGTGGGCAAATTAACAGCAACAATTTGGTTTTCGTAATTACCAATTAGAATACAAAACTGCTAGATCTTTTGACCATTATAAAAATTATAAAAAAGTTTATTACGTAAAAGTAAAAAGAAAACAATATAAGTGATGAAATATAAAAAAAAGTTCCACAGACAACAGTAGTTTGCTGTACTACATTGAATAAAATTACTTGATATACTACTTGTATAAGAAATAATACTACTTGAATTATGAAAATATTTCATTTAACATATCAATAAAATGGTTATAAATAGACCTCCATAATTATCAATTTTAAACCAATACAATACATAATAAGATGAACATTTATCGATCTTGTTTATGATTTAATGCGGAAATGGTTATGTGTTGATTAACTATTATAAAACTAAAATTTATTTAAAGTAAATTTAAAGTAATTCGTAATACAGAAGAAATACTATAAATAATCAGATAATTCAATTTAAAGTAAAAACAAAAAGATAGGTAAAATTAAAGATTAACAAACTTAGCAAAGCGAAAATCAATTGTTTTTTATTTCAGAAAAAGTTTTTTTTTTTAGTTTATTTCATTTTTTATTAGTTCAATGCTATAAAATTCAACTTAATAACTTAAGTAATTTATATTCAAGTTAGTATAAACATTTGAAAAGGTTGTAATGAAGCGTTGAAACTTTTAAAGTAACAAAGTATACAAAATCAGCTGTTTAATTTTGTGTTATCAATTTATTGTTACACATGTAAAAAATTTAATAAACTTTTAAAAATAATATATCAATATATTTGTCTGTACATAAGGTTTTTTTTTTGTATCTTGACTTTTTTAAAAAAAATCACTTGAAAACCTCTAATATAGGTTTTTTATCGTTTTATAGAATATTATTAGAAAATTCGTGGTCAAAATCTTAAAATGCTGTGCGCCTCGATTTAAATTTTTCCAAATGATCTTAAATTTTCAAAATATTATTTTTTTAAACTAAAAATAAAAGTGGAGGGGTGTCCCGAATGAAATTTCGAAATTCGTAAAATAAGGACTACCCTAATGTACACCAGCTATAAAAACTATCAATGTCTTTTTGTAACAGAAGAGAATCATTAAAACAACTAATATATTTAACAATTTTAGCATCATCTGCCAATAAAAGAATATTAGAAAAATTAATTAAAAAAACAATATCATTGATAAATAAATTGAATAAAAGTAGAGATAGATGGTTACCCTGTGGAACACTAGAATCCATGAAATTGGATAAGAAATAAAATTTTTATATTTTACAAATTAATATCTTAATGTTAAAAAAGAATTGAACTATGCTAATAAAAGGTTAGCAAAACCATTTTTTTTAATTGATGAATTAATAGTTGGTGGTTTATCCTGTCGAATGCTTTTTCAAAATCGTTATGTATAACATCTGTTTATTGATCATTAGCACAGGAATTAAGGATAAATTGTTTAAATGATATTAAATTAGTAACAGTAGATTTATTATTACGAAAACCATGTTGTTGAAGAGCAAAAATATTTTTAAATAGTGGACTAGGTTTATAATTGATGATTTTCGAGAAAATTTTAGATATGATAGATAATACGGATATAGGGTGATAATTAGATACTACTGACTTATCACCTTATAAAAATAGGATTTATAAAAACTGATTTCTACATATTAGGAAAACTATTATGTAAAAAAAAAATTAAAATGGAAAGTAATTGAATACGTAAGAACAAATCTACAAGCTTGTAAGAATATTCTTACATGCTTGTAGATATATTGATGATACACCATCAGGACCAGTATTAGTTTTCCATTTTAAAATATCAAATTCATTAAAGACATCCATTAGATTAATTTCACAAGTATTAATAGAACTTAAAGTTTCAACAACAAGAAAATTATTATTGTTAGGAGTAACATTTACTTTACGATAAACTGAAGAAAAATAGCGAGCAAACAGATTGACTATGCTTTGACCATCATCGGCTAATTCTTGGTCATGAGATAACGATTTAGGAAGATCGGAGGAAGAATTACAAGTTTTTAAAAAAGGACCAAAATTGTTTAGGATCATTTTTTAAAGAAGATTGAACATTTTGAACGTGAATATTGTAATCAAACTTACTTCGACGTTTACATTCAGCCCGAATCAGGCGCGCACCCAGGATTTTTTTTTGGGGGGGGCTAAAACATTTTCCTTACACACAATAGAAAGCAATTACTACTCATTTTTAAACATTTTTATTATTATTATTACCACAAATTATATAGTATACTGTTTTTAATATTTTCAATAAAATATTATGACAAATTAGTTTAAAATTTAATTTTTCTGGGTCCCTTTTCAGATAGAACTTCTAATACTTCGGATTCTTTAATTTGTATTTCTCGATGTATGTGAAGATTTGCCAGTCCATTTAATCGTGACTGTCCCATAGTATTTCTGAGGTAGGTTTTGATTCGCCGTAGCGTGGAAAATGATCTCTCAGCCGTACTTGTACTTACTGGTAACGTTGCAAATATTTTCAAAAGTATAAATACTGATTCAAATACTTTTAAATCACATAAATTTAAACCATCGATTACGCTTAGAGGTAAAGTATAGCAACCATTTTTGAATTTTTCGTACCACAATTCGAATTCGGCCTTTGCGACTGAAAAACTAATATGTTGCATATCTTTTTCATAAAATTCAAAAAGATTTTTAAAACTTGAAATTTGTTCATCGGTTGGAGTATGTCCGGTAGGTAAGACATTTAAAACTTGTGAGAAGATTTTTGTGTTTTAAAAATCGATCAGAAAGACTATTAAGAAATGAATCAACCCATGGAACAAAAATTGAACATCTATAGTATTCTTCAATATTTTNAATCAATCCATGGAACAAAAATTGAACGTCTATAGTATTCTTCAATATTTTCTGATGGTGCATTAGATCGTTTAGTTTGGTGTTTCGTTAGTCTAGGTGTGGATAGAGTAAAGTCTAAATTAGAGGCAATTTGTTGTGCTTCTAGAAATAAAAGCTTAAATTCATTTTCTGCGTTACTTCTAAGCCGATGGAGAATAGACACTACACTTCCTACTTGGTTAACTGCAGTAGAAAGATCTATATCTGTCGTTTGAAGTACTTTACTTATTGGTAAAGTATAAGCTAATAATTTCTCTGAACAAAGTAATGAAATTATAAATGTAGATTGGCGAATACTATTTAAAAGTAAAAATGCACCAGATGATGAGTCCTTACAGTTCCACGATTGAATTTCTTCTAAAGCCGCCACTACATGTAATAAAAATTGATTGAATACTATTATTGAATCGTGTCGTTCAACCCATCTAGTTGGACAAAACTGCACTAATTTAGTTTTATTAATATCAGGAGCTAAAATTTGAATTTGATTTTTTAAAATAATTTGACGTTTTGGTGTATTAAAAAACGTGTATACTTTTTCTATTACGCCAAAACTATTCCTAATAGATATTACATCAACAGCATTAGATAAAGCCAAATTTAAGCTGTGTGAAACACAATGAACATAGAGTGCAGTTGGATATTTTTCTGTTATACATGCTTGGACACCTTTAAATCTGCCACTCATTGCTGCAGCTCCATCGTAGCCTTGTCCGCGTAAATAATTTATGTTGATACCACATGCATTTAATGTTGTTAAAAGTACATCTGCTAAATTTTGACCCGAAGTTGATTCTACTGGTACAAATTTTAAAAATTGTTCAACTATTTTAAAATTGTTTTCATCGATACACTCAATATATCTTACACACAATGAGAATTGTTCGATTGAGGAAATATCAGACGTTTCGTCAGCGAGTACGGCAAAACATTTAGCACTATTAACTTTAGTTACAAGTTTAGATAAAATAATTTCATCACAAGCATCAATTATTTGGTTCTGAATATTCCAACTAATATACGTTGAATTTTTTCCGCAAGTCATTAAATGTTGTTTTAAATTTTTGTCCCCAGAATCAATTCGTGCCCTAAGCAACGCTCGAAAATTACCTTCGTTGCACTCAGGTTCTTGTTCTACGTTAAACGTTCCGTAATCTCGATGTGCCCTAAGTGGCAGACATTGTCTTCCACACAAAATAATCGTTTTTATTATCGGTTTCAGTTTTTCTTGATTTTCTAAAGCCTGATGGTGATGAGCTTTATCGATTTGTTTATCAATCGATAAAATTTTTCCTGACATGACATCCATAAAATTATCTGCTTTTAAATTAGCTTCCTTGTGATAATTTAAAGTACCGTGTTTTTCAAATTTTTCTAAGCCCTTTTTCCAATTATTGAATCCCTTTTTAACAAATGTATGAAGTGATTGATTGGAACTGTAACCCGCCATAGAAGGTGAAAATAATACGCAAACTTTACAAAAAGCACTATCTTCAATTTTTGAATATGTTAGCCATTTGTATTTAGTTAACCAAAGTATATTGAATTTTCTACTTTGGTTACCAATTTGTTGAATTGGAAAATTAAAATTATTATTCGGGACCCAAACATTTTGCAAAACTTGAATTTTTTCTTGGTCGTTGAGTTTTTTATCGGCAAATAATGATATATCATAAGAAGAAAAATTTTCATAATTACCAGTAGTATTAGATGTTTGTGACGGCGAAGCAAATATTTCTTGAGGATTGGGCAAATCATTAATTTTTGGAATTTTCGGTTTAATACTGATAAAGTTAAGTAAAGTACCAGCGGGTTTGCTTCGTTTTTGACTCATTTTGCAGATTTTTACTCAAAGTAGTAAATACGTATTCAGTACAACGTTCACAACGACAAAATCAAACGGAATGAATTAAACAAACGAAATTTCACGCGTCAAATAGTCTACAATTATGATAAATATTGTTATTGTAGTTAATGATCAAATCGACGGCTGTCTATCTAACGTAATCGCTGCTGACTAGTTCTTAGAAATTAGAATACGCTAATACCAATAAATCTAAAAATAATTTTCAACAAAATAAGCGCTCGGCGATTGCCACAAACCTTATTACGTATTATTGAACTATTAATATGTATCTAACATAATAATAAAATTTGGAAAAAAAATCATTTTAATACTATATTTGTGACAATGTGCTATAATAATTTATAATTTAATGCAAAAAATATTTTTGGGGGGGGGCTTCAGCCCCAAAGCCCCCCCCTTGGGTGCGCCACTGGCCCGAATAGAAGAAAATTTTACATAGTCATCTTGCATTTAAGTTTTTTTTATACACGGAATGAAGTATTTTTTTTTATTTTATCAATGATTTAAGATCATTAGAAAACAAAATAGGAAATTTAAAATTATAATTTTAATATTAGGAATAAAAAAGTCAATAGCTGATAATAAAATAGAATAACATTCATTAACTAAAATATTTATGTCATTACTAATTTTAAAGATATTATTCCATTGAATAGAACCTAAATAAGATAATAAAGAAGAGTAATTACATTTATGCAAATCATAAATAATTTCAGGAGAAGAATCAAAAGAGAGGTAATTAGTAATTGAAAACATAATATTGTAGTACGTCTGTAATGCCCCAACGTCGACACAAAAGTTTAACACAAAATTGCTTACTATTGCCTTAAACCCCGTATTATACTAAAATCAACGTTATTCAGCTATTTACTACAATATTTAAAGGAGGATGGTATTTATTGACAAGAACAATTGGGTCATAATTTTGTATAACATCTAAAGAAAGAATTTGATAAAACAAGATCAAGCATGGAGTTTTTAATATTAAAAACTTTATTATGTTGCACAAGGTTAAATAAAGGTCATTTTTCTAAGAAAAAAGATTCGGACGAAGAAAGATTAATTTTTGGATTCAAATGAATATTCTTTAAATTAGGAATATTAAAGTCACCTAAAAGTTATAACTCATAATCAGTATAATTCAGGATATTTAGATTTTTTATTCGAAAGTACTCTATGAATTCAATGCGTATTATTTTCTACATTGTAAAGTACTATAGGTGGATGATTACCTAACTNTACATTGTAAAGTACTATAGGTGGACGATTACCTAACTCTTAAACGATTCCAGTTTTATTAGTGGAGTCAAAAACGTATGTGTCATAATTATAATAATTTGCCAATGAAAATAATTAAGAATCAATACACCAATAATTAGGGAGATCATCAAATCTTAAAAGTTCTAAAATTTCTAATATAAAATATTTTATGTGTTTCTCCGAAGTTCAGAGAATTTACTAACGAATAAATGCCAATGTTTCCATTGTTTAGTGCATTCTTTCCATTTTTATATTTTTCTAAAATTTTTAATCTATCATCCTCAATTTGATAATTATTATTATTAACTTTGTACGATTTATTTTTTCATAAATTATAATATGTATTCAAATTATTGTTTTATTCTTTAATATAAATTTAAAAATATAAAATTTGGGAATTCTTTCTCAAAAATAGCATATTTTTGAATACAGCATCCATTTTCAATATATAAACAAGCTGTTTATTTATGAAATTTTACTAAATACTAAAATTGGTACAAACAATTCATACGAACACTTTTGATAGTTAATAAATCAAATGTTAAAAATATTGGAAATTTTCCATTTTTTTTTGTTTATTTTAGATACAATGTACATATTCAATAAATTAGTTCCAGTTAATTTTTTCAAACATAGTTTGTCATAAATAAATGAAGTAACAATTAAGAAAATTCAATAGAATATTAATTAGAACAGCCATTTTTAGTAGCATAGTTAATTATATTAGTATAACCATTTAGAGTAGCTTCAGAAATTGTTCCGCTACTCCAAGGACAATTATTTTCATGAGCATATATTAAGCAATGAAATTGACCATTTGCAGCAGCAAGTCTTGTTGTGCCTTTATCCCACTCACAACCATTTTCATGAGCATATTTAAGGCAGTCTAAATTGCCATTTGCAGCAGCTCCACTCATAGTTCCTTCATCCCATTTACACCCATTTTTATATGCAAATACTAAACAATTAATAAAATTACTCGCAGCTGCTTCCCTTGTTGTGCCTTCATCCCACGGACACCCATTTTCATAAGCATATTTAAGACATTTTAAATGTCCATTTGCTGCAGCCCCTCTCATAGTACCTTCGACCCAATCACATCCATGTTCACGGGCATACATTAGGCAATCTAAATTACCATGCATAGCTGCTGCAACTATTAAATTGTTGTCCATATTGCATCCCTTATCATAAGCATAAACCAAACATTCTAAACAGCCATTTGCTGCAGCAGATCGAGTAGTGTATTTATCCCATTTACAGTTATTTTCGTAGGCATATTTTAAGCATTCTAAATTACCGCTAGAAGCAGCAGCTTCTGTTGTCCTTTCATCCCACGGACATTCATTTTCATGTGCATATTTTAAAATACTTAAATCACCTTTTTTGGCAGCTGCAGTAGATGTACGTTCATCCCACTTGCAGCCATTTTCAAAAGCATATTTTAGGCATTCTAAATTACCGCTAGAAGCAGCTGCTTCTGTTGTGCTTCCATCCCACGGACATTCATTTTCATGTGCATATTTTAAAATACTTAAATCACCTGTTTTGGCAGCTGCAGTAGATGTACGTTCATCCCACTTGCAGCCATTTTCAAAAGCATATTTTAGGCATTCTAAATTACCGCTAGAAGCAGCTGCTTCTGTTGTGCTTTCATTCCAAGGACATTCATTTTCATGTGCATATATTAAAATACTTAAATCACCTTCTTTGGCAGCTGCAGTACTTGTACTTTCATCCCACTTGCAGCCATTTTCAAAAGCATATTTCAAGCATTCTAAATTACCATTAGAAGCAGCTGCTTCTGTTGTGCTTTCATCCCACTGACATTCTTTTTCATGTGCATATATTAAAATACTTAAATCACCTTCTTTGGCAGCTGCAGTACTTGTACTTTCATCCCACTTGCAGCCATTTTCAAAAGCATATTTCAAGCATTCTAAATTACCACTAGAAGCAGCTGCTTCTGTTGTGCTTTCATCCCAAGGACATTCTTTTTCATGTGCATATTTTAGTATTTTTAAATGACCTTTCCAAGCAGCCGCAGTAGTTGTGCTTTCATCCCATTTACATCCATGTTCAAACAAATATTGTAAGCATTTTAAATTGCCCCTAGAAGCAGCTGCTTCTGTTGTGCTTTCATCCCACGGACATTCTTTTTCATATAAATATTTCAATATTTTTAAATCACCGTTCCAGGCAGCCGCAGTAGTTGTGCGTTCATTCCATTTACAACCATGTTCAAACAAATATTGTAAGCATTCTAAATTACCGCTAGTGGCAGCTGCTTCTGTTGTCCTTTCGTCCCACGGACATTCTTTTTCATGTGAATATTTTAATATTTTTAAATTACCACTCAAGGCAGCCGCAGTAGTTATACATTCATCCCACTTACAGCCGTTTTCAAAAGCATATTTCAAGCATTCTAAATTATCACTAGAAGCAGCTGCTTTTGTTGTCCTTTCGTCCCACGGACATTCTTTTTCATGTAAATATTTTAAATTTTCTAGTTTACCATTTAAGGCAGCAATATAAGTTGTTTTCATATTGCATGGATATCCATTTTTAAGAATATATTTTAAAATTTCTAGATTACTTATTGCAGCTATATTAGTTATGAGTTCATTGAATTCATATCCATTTTCGTGGACATATTTTAATATTTCTAGATTACCCTTTACAATAGCGTTTCTCGCAATATTAAATTGATTCCATTTACAGCTATTTTCATAAGCATATCTTAAGCATTCTAATTTACCGCTAAAAGCAGCTGCTTCTGTTGTGCTTTCATCCCACGGACATCTATTTTCATGTGCATATTTTAAAATATTTAAATGACCATTATATGCAGCTAATTTAGTTGTACTTTCATCCCATGGACATGCACATTCATGTAAATATTTAAAATTATCTAGTTTACCATTGAAGGCAGCTATATGAGTTGTTTTCTTATTGCATGGATATCCATTTTTAAGAACATATTTTAAAATTTCTAGATTACTCATCGCAGCCATATTGGTTGTATGTTCATTGAATTCATATCCATTTTCTTGAACATATTTTAACATTTCTAGATTGCCCTTATGAATAGCAAGTAGCACTATATCGGATTGATTCCATTTACAGCCATTTTCATAAGCATATTTTAAGCATTCTAAATAACCACTAGAAGCAGCTGCTTCTGTTGTTCTTTCATCCCACGGACATTCATTTTCATGTGCATATGTTAAAATACTTAAATCACCTTCTTTGGCAGCTGCAGTAGTTGTACGTTCATCCCACTTGCAGCCATTTTCAAAGGCATATTTTAAGCATTCTAAATTACCATTAGAAGCAGCTGCTTCCGTTGTGCTTTCATCCCACGGACATTCATTTTCATGTGCATATTTTAACATTTTTAAATTACCTAATTTGGCAGCCGCAGTAGTTGTACGTTCATCCCATTTACAGCCATTTTCATAAGCATATTTCAAGCATTCTAAATTACCACTAGAAGCAGCTGCTTCTGTTGTACTTTCATCCCAAGGACATTCTTCTTCATGTGCATATTTTAACAATTCTCCATATTCTGCAGCTTTTACTGTCGTGGCTTCTTTAAATTGTTCGTCATTGGAATTTTTATATTGAATTGCTAAATAAGCAAAATATTAATTAATTTTTAATGCATTTAATATTTATTTTGACAACCTAAAAAAATATCTATTTAAGAGAGTGACATTCAATTTCTACTTGTTAATACATCCAAAAATTCAATTTAGGATTTACTACAAAGATTGAGTCGTGATTTTTTTAATCATTAGGTTTGGTTAATTTATGTATCCTTTTTTCTTCTAATTGTTGTAATTATTAATAAATGTATAAATATTTTGTATAATAAAATAAAATGTATGCACATTTGTATTTAATATCCAAAAAATAATTTGAATACGATATTGTTTTAAGGCTTTATGATTCTTAATCGAAATAATTATGTTAACAGAATTATTTTTTATAGTATTAGTGCATAATAGATGCATACAGTTAGTATAAAATGCTTGAATAGAAAATTTTGATATAAAATAAAGTTCAAAAATGTTTAATAATTAAAAAGAAATTAGATACATTTTCAATTATTCATCTGAATTTAATATTTGATTATATTTTTTTCTAGAGGAATCATAATTACATGAGATATTCTAAAATAATTTCATTAAAACATACTAGATGCAACTCTATTCAATTTTATTTTTAAATGACAAAGTAAATAAATGAAGTAGATTATATCTACTTTTGTAATAAATAATATTTAAATAACTCTAATTAAAAATAATTTCACTTATAATGTATTTGGATATTTAATTTAAAATAAAAAACCCAGCACAGTGGGATGGCGGCCCAATGGGGTCGTGGCATAGTTGGGTCCAGTATAGATGATATCTGACAGTGATTAAAATCACTATCATAAAAAACACTTCTATGCAAATCTGTAGATAGTTTTTAATTAAAAAAAAAAAAATTTGTTAAAATAGCATATTTTTGAATACGGTAGCCATTTGCGCATAGAAGATAGGTCGTCGGGACAAATTTTTTTATTTTATTTTATAGTACACAAAATAAGCTTTAATTTGATATATGTTTAAAGGACGCAGTAATTCCAGAACATTTTCAAAAATTAAGTTGAAATAGTTATTTTTTGTATAAAAGTTACTATTTTAAATCCATCCAGTGAGCAGAATAAGTGTTAGATTTAAAAAAAAATTATATCAAATGAAAGGGAAATATCTAAGGTTTCAATACTTTTTGTATTGAAACCTTATTATTTTAATGTTATTTTTATTTGTTCATTTTTGAAAAAGTTATGGCAGTTTTAAGTACAATAAACATCCCGATAAAAGGTAATTTTTAAAACATTACATTTTTTTTAAATTTCTTTCAAAAATACGTCAAAAGATCACAAATCGTATCTAGTTGAAGACATTACCCTTAAAAATTGAAAAAAATTCCCTCGTTCCCCGCAAATGGGGGAAATATCCAAAAAAATTACAAATTTAAAAATCGCTAATTTTCGAAACTTTTTCACTTTTTTTTCTTAAAACTTCCATAAATTTTAGAAAAATCAACAAATCTACATAATTTTTTTTTTNCTTCCATAAATTTTAGAAAAATCAACAAATCTACATAATTTTTTTTTTATACTAAAACCTTAGATTTTCATTTGATATCATTTTTTTGAAAATCTATCACTTAACCTGCTCATTGGGGGGGGGATTAAAAATAGCATCTTTTTTATAAAAATTAACTTTTTCAACTTAATTTTTGAAAATGTTCCGGAAATACTGCGTCCTTCAAACATATATCAAATTTAACTTTTTCAACTTAATTTTTGAAAATGTTTCGGAAATACAGCGTCCTTTAAACATATATCAAATTAAAGCTTATTTTATATACTACAATCTTCTGCATGAAAACGGCTGTCGTAATTAAAAAAACACTATTTTTGTGTTAAAATTTTCGATTTTTGATTTTTAATTTTCAACTTAAAAATGCTATAACTTTTTGAAAAATGTATATATCAGCACAAATTTTTTTTTATAAATATATTATAAGTACATATTTTATTTGACATACTTTTTATTAAAATTAGACAATTTCCCCTTATATAGGGGGCGTTCAAAACTTGAAACATTGTATAAAAAATAGAACTTTTTCAACTGAACTTTTGAAAATGTTCCGGAAATACTGCGTCCTTTAAACATATATCAAATTATAGCTTATTTCNTACTGCGTTCTTTAAACATATATCAAATTAAAGCTTATTTTATGTACTATAAAATAAAAAAAAAATTTGTTCTGACACCTTATGTTCTATGTGCAAATGGCTGTCGAAATTAAAAAAAAAATGTAATGTTTGCGATAAAAATCACCTTCTATCGGAATTTTTTTTGTAATTAAAATTGCCATAACTTTTTCAAATATTAACAAATCAAAATAATATTTTTTTGTATTGAAACTTAAGATATTTCCCATTCATTTGATATCATTTTTTTTGAAAATCTAACACTTATTCTGCTCACAGGGGGGATTTAAAATAGCAACTTTTTTACAAAAACTATTTTTTTTAACTTGACTTGAATTGAAAATGTTCCGGAAATANATTTTTTTTAACTTGACTTGAATTGAAAATGTTCCGGAAATACTGCATCCTTTAAACATATGTCAAATTAAAGCTTGTCATGTACTATATAATTAAAAAAAAAAATTTGTCCCGACGACCTATCTTCTATGCGCAAATGGCTGCCGTATTCAAAAATATGCTATTTTTGTATTAAAATCCTGGGTTTTGTATTTTATTTTATTTTAAAATATCTTATAAGGGCAATACACTGACTTTAATGAATATTTTATAATTTAATTGACAAAGAATAACGTTCATAAGACATAAGAAATTAAACTTATTAAAATTTTTTTACTTTTTTAAAGTCGAAAAAGTAATTTTTAAATTTGTGTTAGCTTAAATAGCCAATTTTATCATGCGACAACGCATAGGGTACTAGGTTCAAATCCGACTGTGGCTTTTAAAATTTTGCATATTTTTTTGAGTTAGATTAAAATTTTCAAATCATTTGATATTTATCTTATTTAGATTCAATAACTT